CCCTGAATTATCTTGCCATTTGGAAATAGCTTTTTTCCCCTTTCAGCATAGGGTTCTCATTCTAAAACATGCCTGGAACTGAAATGATAAATAGTATGTCTCTTTCTCACTGCCAGAGATAAATTGTAATTCTGCCTAAAATGACATTTTATCAAGTTGTATCTTCAGAAGGAGTAATTAGTACTTTAATCATTAGTGACCCACAGAGCTGGATTTCACTGCCAGAACTGTACATGCAGAGCATTGTCAGCCAACAAGCATAATGAAGTCTAAGCAGAGTTTTAAGGACTAGCAAACTATTATGAGACTCACTGGTTGCACAAAACTGCAACACCCTGCTTTAAGGCATTCCCTTCCCTTTGTTTCTTTTTGAGGTGCCAACAGTCTAATTTTTCGTGATATGACAACAAAGTGACACATTTAGCTGAACAAAAGTGTTGTGAACATATTTGAAAATAAATACATTGTACAGAAAAGGCACTTATGATGATGAGGTGGCTGTGGTCTACTCAAGTTCAATGTTTTTTCGCCATATTACATATTATTTATAGGATTCATATCACCCCTTTCAGAAGAAGCACCCTCAAGCTGATTTGTTGCAGTTAATAAAATAAAAACAATAATGCCACAAAGAAAAACAAACAGCGGAATAATTAGATAAGAACAGAACAATTACGGACTATGGATTTCCAAAAACTTTAGGGAAAACATTTCTCATTTATTTTGAGGAGAGTCTTCCAAAAGTCTTGCTTTCAGATTTTTCTAGAAACTTTCTAGACTTTTTCTGAAAAGTCTGGTGGAATTAAACAGGCAAACCCACTGAGGGAAACAAGGGGCAGCTCTACATGGACTGCCAAATAGGATCTGGAATGGTTTGCATCGCCATCCTTCCAGCTGCTGTGGAGGTAAGAAAAAGTATTGACTATGCAGCAATGCTGTACCTGGCTCAGTGATGCTGGATGGCCACCCTAACAGGCCTCTTCTCATTCTCATTGCAGTGGCCATCAGGTGCGATATGAGTAGTGACCATCACTCTTCCTCTGGAGTCACAGTAATACAGAAGAGGATAAGGAGGAGAGGCCAAATTGTACCCTCCTTTCATCCTTCCCTTCTCCGATCACTCTTGTGCCAACATTGCTGTAGGTGATGAGCAGTGGACACTAGTCACGTTGTGCCCAATGATTAGTGCCATCCTGTGTCCCTAGACCATCCAAACCCAAGGAACATAAGATGGATGTGTAAACAGTTGCAGCCAACTCCATCTCAGAACCAGCCCAGCTGCTTACATGGGCCCAAAGTCACAGTTTGCTCCAGATTCTCAAAGAGAGTTCAGGGCAACCCACCACATTTTTAACGACTTTCAAAGCCATGTTAAGCCTTCTCAATACAAACAGTTATGTGTAGCAGATAATGAGTCAAAGTAGATGTACCCAAGGTCTTTTGGTTGAGAGCTCCAAAAAGCTCATACTAATTCCTCCTTTCAGCCTCAGAAGAAATCATCATGTTTTTCTTGGGGGGGGGGAGGGGTTCAAAATTTTACTTTAAGCTACTTTTTATCCCCCTTCACCTCATATCTATTTTATTGCCTCGTATTCCAAAAGTTTCTGTCCCATATTCTATTCTCATTATACTCAGAAATTCAAGAGCTCAACATTGAACTCAGATTTTAGAGCGCTATTCAGTAAACTAGTCACTCTCACACACATAAAGATAAGACCACAAAATAACATTTTTCATAAGCCTGGTGTTACCCAATTGCAAAAATGCTTCAAATCACATGATTTTGAATCACAATGTGCAAACATGAATTATTATTTTAATTGCTTCTGTTATTTAATAATCTCTGATTTTGTCAGATTTTCAGGTATTTTTGCTACAATATTGTGATATGGTCTGATATGGGAAGAAGTCCACTACAGTGACACCATAAGTTACCACACCAACCCTAGGGATGCCACTGCCTGTCCTCACTCAAGCGTGATGTCTTTCCACTGCATTTCAGTCATTTAAAGAGTATCATTATCATTATTAGTATTATTCTGTTGTTGTGTCCAAGTTGTTTCTGACTTATGGGGATCCTGAGGCAAACCTATCACAGGATTTGTTTTGGCAAGATTTGTTTGTAAGGGGTTCTCATTGCTTTTCTCTGAAGATGTGTGCCTTTTCCAAGGTCACCAAGTGGGCTTCCCAGATCTCCTCTGGCCCTAGTTCAGCATTCAAATCACTATACCATACTGGCTAAGTGTCATTACTCTGTCTATACATGTCCATGTCATAGACAATTTAACTTAGCATTTTAATATTACTGTTTAAAAATTAACAAAGTAGGAGTAACTAATTAATATTTAAGAAATGGTGTTCAAACTCTCATCTAAATTAACATGGGCATTTACAATCTCCCCAAACACCCCACTTTAAATAATAAATTTGTCACGTGACATTTGTGGTGTCATTGCTCAGTCCAAACTAGTTATCTCACTCTCAAATTCCATAAGATCTTAACACATCAATCCAGACCCAAATCTAAAACACTGCATGCCTTGCTGCAGACCTGGTGAAAAATCAGGATTATTACTCATGCTTGATGTCAAGGCTTTCTTGAGTTTTTCAGCAGAGAGCAGACACGTTTCTATGTAATTTAAGCATGTTAACTGAAGGGATAATGAGCATGGATTACATGTAGTTTGGCAGTGACACTGCAATTACAGGCTCTTTTTATTCATGAGCCTTCAAGAAGGCTCCAAAAATATAAGAAAGTTTAAATATTTCCAGTGGGGACAGGAGAACTGTTTGAAGCACTAAAAATATTGTTTGACATACTAAAAATAGGGAAACAAATAAGGAGCCATATTCTCCCCCTCGGGATTGGGAAAAGATAATTAAAATTCAAGAAGAGTGAAAGTGGCAAAACATCTCTATTCACTTCAGCTTCAGTAATTTCACTTCAACTGTATGAGGGAAATCATTTAATTCTTTGGACCATCTGTTGTGGCCTTCTTTCTGTGTGATTACATTACAGAAAGTGCCATTCCAGATAAGTTTGTCACTAGTACTTTTAAATGCATGGGAACGAGAACCTAGAAATGGAAGAGATGAAGATGTGTGACCTTGAGTGTCCGACATATGATCTAATACAACAGCCAGCATAGTGATCTTGTTTGCTGTGTATTAATCTTGTTGTGTTTCAAATAATAATAATAATAATAATAATAATAATAATAATAATAATAATAACCATCTGCCAGTTGTAAAAGGCCATCTTACTGGGATCTGCTCGCATGATTCGCCAATACATCACACAGTCCTAGACACTTGGGAAGTGTCCGATGTGTGATCCAGTACAACAGCCAGCAGAATTCTCTTGTTTGCTGTGGACTTATCTTGTTGTGTTTCTAATAATAATAATAATAATAATAATAATAATAATAATTTGGAAACTATAAACATCAACAAAATCATGATCTGTCAACTGCAAAAGGCCACCTTACTTGGATCTGTGCGCATAATTCGAAAATACATCACATAGTCCTAGATGCTTGGGAAGTGTTCGACTTGTGATTTTTTGATACGAAATCCTGCATATAGATCTTGTTTGCTGTGACATACTGTGCTTTTGTGTCAGTAAAATAATAATAATAATTTAGTTGTATTCCTTCCTATCTCCCGAGGGGACTTAGGGTGGATTCCAGTATAAATAAACACAAGGGCAAACATTCAATGCCTAGAAACAATGAAACACAGATAAAGGTGAAGGCTTCCCCTTCTGGCTAAGAGGGGTGGTGCTCATCTCCATTTCTAAGCCAAAGAGCCTGTGTTGTCAGTAGACACCTCCAAGGTCATGTGACCGACATGACTGGAAGGAGAACCATTTACCTTCCCACCAAGGCAGTACCTATTGCTCTACTCACATATGCATGTTTTTGAACTGCTAAGTTGGCAGGAGCTGGGGTTAACAGTGGGAGCTCACCCCCTCCTGCAAATTCAAATTGCAAACCTTCCAGTCAGCAAGTTCAGCAGCTCAACAGTTTAACCCATTGCGCCACTGCAGTTAATGGGTATTAACTGATCTGTGGCATAAACTTAGTTTTGACTTAATGAGGAAAATCCAGTAACATATTATGTTTCCATTCTTTTAAGGTGTTGCATCAGGTTGATGCAATTAAGGATTTATAGCTATGAGATGGTTTTATTGCTTTCCATAGCTGGCACTATGAGATAAACATTAAATTGATGAAGGGGGCAGGAAGAGATACTGTTGTCTTGAAAGGATTAAGGGGTCAAATATATTCTCCAATTCACTTCATATAAAGAAACCCACAAACATAACACAAAGCTTGCACCTAAGAGAATCCAGGGGATCTTACTCTCAGAGAAGTATGTACAACTCTTACTTTTAAAGGTTTTAAGCATTCCCCAGGACCCACATCCAAATATCATCCTTACATTATATGGAATGTGGTATACTGAATGTTGAATCAAGATAGGGTATGGTTTAAGCATTGAATTACAACTGCTGAGACCTGTATTTGATTCCCGACTTGATCATATGTAGAAATCCATGAGTTGATCTTAGACTAATCACATACTCTCAGCTCCAGGAAATTCAATAAGTTAACCTTAGGATTGCCATAAGTCAGAAAGGCACACAACAGCATGAAATAATGAATTTTGAACTCTGTCCCTATGTTCCACCTTATTCATATCTGCCAGCCTATAGTAATCACATAGAAAAGATTCAAAGTGCTCCTTTCTGACACCATGTGTGGAAAAACACTGAGCCTTGTGCATTGCTGTTTCCTCTGTTGTTTTGTTACTCCCTTTCAGACTGATTTATTCAGCCAGAGACTGAAAGATCTCAGAACATTTCCATTATGGATAGTCCTGGCTGGCAAACTGGTTGCTCCACCTTCACCCTCCATGGTACTAAGGTTTGTATTTCTCTGTTTGTAGTCACTTAAGTTGCTTAGAGATTATAAACAGTTGCCCAAACATAGGGGAAAATGTGTGGCTGTACGTCCAGTACTGGGAATAAAAAAACCAACCCTCCTAATCAGTCAGGGGATAGTTCAACCAAAAAAAGAAACACTTCAACAAAAATGCCCAAACAGTGAGTAAAAACTTTGCTCTTTTTTCTTCTCTAGTAATTCCCCATTTGCTATCCATTTGGTTGCTTTACATAGCATGTCTGGGTATTTGCACATATGAGCAGTAAACAAGCCAGAGATTTCACAGCTTGTGAGCTGGACTATAATGAGTTTCTTTCAGTTTTGCAAAAGTAATCATACTTTTTTATTGATTTTTGAAAGCCTGAGGGAGAGTAAGAAAACTCTCCCACAGCAAATTCTCAATACATTTTAAAACAAATTATTTTATTGTCTTCATATTTGCATGCTCTACTTACTTCTGTAAGGTACAAACTGCATAGGTGTCATATCCTCCTGATTTGCTATCAAAGACCGATCAGGATCATAGCGCAAGTGATGTACAAACCAAACATAATGTGCCCTGCCTGGATTTCTGCAAGTTAAGTGCTCTTGTATACTCATCTTCCACTCATTACTTTTCCAGCTTGTTGGTGGATCTAATTTCCTGTAGTTTTGAAATACACTAAGAGCCTGTCTTATCTAATTCCTATATCAAATTTTCTTGTCCTGTCCAGTATCCCTCCATGTATAGAAGCAATCCATGAATTCCTGAAAAACTTTTAACAACAGGTTCAGATGTGGAATTTGAAACCAAAGCTGCTCATTTTTTGTGGGAAGCCATGAATATACAACTGTTAGCTATAGCTAACACATATATGGATGATGAGTCATGACACATATATCCTTAGTTCTAGAACAGCTGCTTTCTAGGTTTATTCAGAATTTAAAGAAATTATCCAAAATATTAAGCCCATTTATTGTTGTTATTGTGTGCCTTGAAGTCATTTCTAACTTACGGCAAACTTCAGGCAAACCTACCATAGGGTTTTCTTGGAAAGATTTGTTCTTAGGAGGGTTGCTATTACCTTCTTATTATTCTGAAAGAGGGTGACTTGCCCAAGGTCACATACTAGTTTCCCATGGACAAGCATGCATTTGGACCCTGGTCTTCAAGATCTAGGTCCAACACTTCAACTACTACACTGTCTAGTTTAACATACAGAATTCAGCACCTTAGACAGTTTTAAAAAAAGTCCAAGATTAAACCCAGAAGAGATTTATCACTTCTGGCACAGAATCCATTTCGCTATTCCAAATTATCCATAACAGAATTCAATCATTTCAAGAAGACTTTTATACCTTTAGAACAATTTTTTGTAAAGTGATCTCTTAAATATTAAAAAATAAAACTGTGATTACATAAGATAACACTTTTGAGTCTCTTAAAAATATGATCAGTGGATAATTTCTAACAGGATTAATCATCAAGATATGCCAATAATATGTCTGTGTTTAATTTCCAGTATTCCCATTCCCAAGCAGCTGGCTTCCATAAAAGGTAAGGCAGTCCACACTATGCATCCACTTATTTTGGGATGTGTAAGAAGAGCAATATTTTCTTGTGTTACCAACTGCACAGAGTATACAACACCTTTATCCTGAAGCCAAATAGCCAAGGAGTTCTTAGGCTTCGAATGGGAATATTTTTCCCTGGAGAGAGTAAGTTGCAGCTGATCACACATCATGGCAAAAATGCAATGGGGAAAAGTCAGTCAGGTCAAAGAATGTGGCATATTCAAATTAATTTACAGAAGAGTTTCATTGGGGGTTCAGAAATCTGCGAGGTGGGGGTGGACCATAAAATACACATTAGACTGGACACAGATATAAATGGACCTCTTAGACTTGGCTCAACATCAGCCAAGGAGGGAGGTGTCAACACAGACTTTCCCACTTCAGTCTTGTAGGCACCAGACCACACTGCAGTGTTCAGTATTCCTTTATGTGGGGAAAATGCTCTTAAATTAGAAAAAAATAGCAGGATAGAAAGAAACTGTACCAAAATTTCTATCCCTTTTTACTTTCTGTGAGAGCAGTCAATAGTGGCCTTCCATAGCTTGAAGTGGCAGTGCTTTAAGATCTACAGGGGTCAACAACCAGGATTTAAGGCCAAAGTATAGAAGCCTCTCCACAATCACTAGAGTTAGGGGCATGGGAGCCCTGCAAAATTGCAAAATAGTGAATAAAAAACAGATTTTTTTTTGTCTACCTCAGCAAACACCTCCTCCAGCATATCTCTGTGGTCTTCCTCTGCCAGATCACATGGGAGGACCTAGAGATTGCTTGAGAGGGTATTTTAATTAAATCCATGAATATTTAAGTTCTTCAAAAGTCAATTGTGCAAATGGGGAGAGCTGACTGTAGATCGATTTGTCTTTGCTATTCTTTTGCTGACGATCCCTTCCTTTAGGGTTCATTCTTTCTCTTGGGAATTTTCTCATCAAAGTCTTTTTAATTTTAATAATTTATATGTTGTTGTTTCTAATATGTTATTTTTTCCATATTTGATTGATCAAATGTGTGCATTAGTCACTCTCTCAGAACACTTTGATTCTTATAGAGTTATTGTATGTGCAATGTGTTGCCCATGTACTCGCTTGCTGATCGACAGCTTCAAGGCCTCCAACCCAATCTCCCTTTTGAATGGTGCCCTACCTTTAACTTGGGCAGCCCCTTCAGATACAGGATATTCTTTAAACCTAGGATTATTCTCGGTAAACAAGTGCACAGCAGCAATCCTACAAGTCTGATTGTATCCTTAGGCTGATCCCACAAAAACAACCCCTGTTCTCCTTTCCTCTTGATGTGGTAACTGAGTGCAAATGACTTTTGAAGTTTGAATTCATTTAATATACATCAAAATACAAAGGGAGGAAGCAGGAGTGGAGAGAAACTGGAACATTCCAAAAATCAGCCAAAAACATGGCATAACAGAAGGTTAATTGGGACTGTCCCGACCTGGAGGGTATGAATTACACAACAAAAGGTGGTGAGTCTTTAACTCTTGGGTTTCACATAGCCTGAATGATAGTCCACTCCTGTGACAAAGTTGCTTCAGTATTGAACAGACCTGCTACTATTATGGGTATATTGCAAAACAACAGGCCATCCACAGCAGGCTGGCTCAGCCCAAGCCCCAACTGGAAAGCCAGCATCATATAAGAGCCAAGTCAGACCTATGCTTTCTGAATGCCCCTAGACTCAAAATATTTCTAGAGAATCATTTTGCTTTGGTGACTTTCCAAAATTATTTCCTCCTCAGCTCTAGAGAAAGGCTCTGATCTTGAGAAAGCGATTGCAACAGCAGCTTTGGTTTTTGACAACGCTGCAGATGCAGATGGGAAACTCAGCAAGTCCGATGCAAAACAGCTACTCGAAAGCCAGTTTATACATTTCATGCAGGTAAGAGGGCCAAAATAAGTTGGTCTTGATAGTCCACTCCTTTTCAGCCTTAACTTGCCACTTGTGAGCTCATCCAGTGACTAAGGAAAATTTCAAACTTTCGGGCTCAGTGAAAGGACACCCTCTAAAACTTAACTAACTTATCTAAAGATTAAGTCTGTAACAGACACACAATGGGGGGAAGGAAATTTAGATCAGTTGAAGTATTACTATTTAAAGGGTAAGTCCAATAGAAAGGACATTAAGGCTCGTTTACACCAAAAAGAGATGGATTTACAGGACACAACTAGCCATGAGCAGTTTAGTCACAGATGGTGCTCCTAAAATGGAAGATATCCTGGTTCATCATCTTTACCACACACACACACACCCTACAATTTCATTTATAGAGTATTTTTAAGCTGAAAATTTGTATATGGTTTTAATTTAGATTAATGGGTCATTTCTGCAGCTAGTGTGCTATTCTTCCTTTTCTTGCCTGTTCATTATTTTTATGTTAATATGATTATGTTGCTTTCTGGCCTTCATACTGATGCTTTCAATTAATTAATTTCCTCCCCCCCCCCCTTCTTTAAGAAAAAAGACTTCTATTTTTATTGTGTTCTAGTTCTCATAACAGTTGTTGCAGCATTATCAATATCAGTCATCACACCATATTTGTTCTTTTCACAGATTTAGATCTTTGGCATACACACACGGGCATATTTGTTTCAATTAACAGTAACTGAAAACCTGTATTTGGACTATCATATCTCACTAGTTGCTTAATAAACCAAGATATGAACAATCTTTTTGTTTACACACATAGCCCCTTCCTTCCTTCTCAGCACAACTAAAAACAAAACACCAGGATATCTTCAACAGTACAGTCTTAGCAAAATTCTCTTTTGAGCACATAGATCACATGTGTCAAACCCAAAGCCTGTGGACTGAATCTGGCCCATCATGTCATTTTACATGGCCCTCCAGATCCTGGACCTATATTCCTCATCAATAGACATCATGACTATAACCAATGGGAGTTATGATAGAATAACATCTGGAAGGCTGCAGGGTTTTTAGTTCAGTCAGTATACTGGAGTTTGAATTTTGATACAAGGCTTTGATGCCTGACTTTAAAATACCCTTTAATCTTTCCCCAGCCTTAGAGATAGAAGTGCTGTTGGATTGCAATTCCCATTATTCACATGGCAGATAATAAAAAGTGATGGGAGTTGTCATTCAATAACATCAGAGCTCCCAAATTGGGTAAAAACTAAAGAGCACCAACCACAATGTAAAAGAAATAGCCCTCTGTATCCATGATTTTAATAGCCCTTTAAGTCTGATGTGGCCCTTGATGGAAATTAGTTTGACATAGAAAGTGTTGAAATTCCCTTTCTATCTCTTTTTCCTGTTCCTTGTCCTGATATACTCATCACACAACTCAAGAGAGTTCTGACATCAGAGAAACAATTATTGGAATTTCACCACCAGATTTTCTACATCAGATGTGAGAAAGAGTACGTTCATGGATATGATTTGGATAGAGAGAAGGTGGCAAGAATATACAGAAGATCTGTATAGGAAGGATAGTAATATCGAGGATAGCTTTGATGATGTAGTGAGTGAATTAGAACCAGAAATCCTGAGGAGTGAGGTTGAATGGTCCTTAAGAAGCATTGCTAATAAAAAGGCAGCAAGATATGATGGGATCCCGGCTGAACTGTTTAAAATCTTGAAAGGTGATGCTGTCAAGGTGATGCATGCTATAATGAGAAGACAGGATACTTTGGAGAAAATAATGATGGAAGGAAAAAAGGAAGAGAGGCTGACCAAGGGCAAGATGGATGGATGTTATCCTTGAAGTGACTGACTCAACTTTGAAAGAGCTGAGGGTGGTGAGGGCCGACAGGAAGCTCTGATGTGGGCTGGTCCATAAGGTTATGAAGAGTCAGAAGCGACTCAATGAATAAATAACAAAATCAAAGACCCTGGATTCACATAATCCAAAGCTCTTCTCAGCTTCATACAGAACACAGGATTATTCCTGAAGCTGATCTAAATACTTTCCTTCTCATCACAGTCAACCCTTCATATTCACAGATTCTGTACCTATAAACTCAACCATTCACAGCTTGAAAATATTCCCCCCAAAAATCTCAAAAATAAACCTTGATTTTACTATTTTATATAATGGAGGCCAATTTAATACACCATTGTGTATAACAGGACTTGAGCATCCATGTGTTCTAGTATCAGGGGGTGAGATGTCTGAACCATAACCATTGGAAGCTGAATTTGTTTGTAAGTTTGAACAGGTACATTTTTTCAGTGTAGCTCCAGCCAAAAAACACCCTGTTTTTAGGGGTAGATTTCTCTCAGTTCCTGTTATCTCGCCCCCATTTATAACTCTGAGTGGTTTGTAAGTTGGGTGTCTGTAACTCAAGGACTGCCTGCAAATGTGTAGCAATGTGAAAAGGCTCTTGCTTGTAACTCATTAAACCAAGATGTGATAGAGCAAAATTAGAACCTTTCCTTAAGTGGCGTTATTTTACAATCTTTCTGAAAGCACTTCCTTTGTTTAATATATTCCTTTGTATACTGGTAATGATGAAAGTTCCTTCTATTTTCAGTTATTAACCAATTCACATTATTTTTACAGGGTCAAGAAACCAAACCAAAATACCAAGAAATAATTTCTGCTCTTGATGAGAACAAAGAAGACAAAATCTACTTTGAAGATTTCATGGTTCAGCTGCTTAGTCTCACCCTGTTGTCTGACCTTCGCCAAGAGATCCAAAATGTGCGAAAAACTAAGTGATTAAGAGTATTTAATAGAAGTCAAAAACCAAGCAATGGAGGACAGAGAAGATGATTTTGGGACGGAGCTAGAGTTAGAATTCTATCTAATAGATAATCAGAAATTTGCAGAAGAAAAGTCAGAATGACTCTTGGGTCACAATTTCAATATCCAAGTTTAGACAAGAAATGAGAAGCACAAACTCATGTTTAGTCTCTGCTAATTAAAAACTATGAATTTATATAAGAAAACATTTCTTCAAACACAGTGGGTTTTACTTCTTTGTAAATACATCCAGGGTTGAACTGTAAAAGATAGTCTGATTAAACTTTGCAATGATAAAAATCAGGTAGTGGCACTAATAAAGACAATTATGCATCATAAAGGGACTATGTGGAGTGACCCCCAGGAGCCTTACAGCAGGGGTGACCCTCCAGGTGTGTATGCCTCCAGATATTATCGGATCCAATATCCCTCACCATTGGTTATGCTAGTTAAGGAAGATGGGTGTTCCACAACATTTGGAAAGGTGCACATTTCCAATTCTTGCTTAAGGGTATCCATATTCCCAGTCACACTGAGGTATGGATAGGATGAAAATATGCATCCTATCCCATATAATGTGGGCCAGGGTGGAAGGCGTTAGTCAGTGTATTCCCAGATGCACAAAGAATCACAGACTTGGAAGAGACTCCAAGGGCCATCCAGTCCAACCCTGTTGCCAAGAAGTAATATACATCCAAAGCACTCCTGACAGATGGCCATCCAGCTTCTGCTTTAAAAACTCCAAAGGAGGAGACTCCACCACACTCCCAGGCAGTATATTCCATTGATGAACAGGCTCTACCATCAAGAAGTTCTCCCTAATGTTTCGATGGCATCTCTTTTCCTGAAATTTGAATCAATTGCTCCATGTCCTAATCTCCAAAGGAGAAAGAAAAACAAGCTTGTCCCTCCTCACTGTAACAACCTTTCAAATATTTAAACATAGCTATCTTGTCCCCTCTCAGCCTTCTTCTCTCCAAGATAACATACTCAGCTTCCTAAACTGCTCCTCATAGGGCAGTGGTTCTCAACCTGTGGGTCCCTAGGTGTTTTGGCCTACAACTCCCAGAAATCCCAATCAGTTTACCAGCTGTTAGATTTCTGGGAATTGAAAGCCAAAACATCTGGGAACCCACAGGTTGAGAAGCACTGTCATAGGGCTTGCTTCCAATATGTTCCTTTTTAAATTGCATCTGAATCTCCATGTAGGTTAGGATATATAACAATAGTGCCTACTGCCTATCTTGCACATTACCTTGAACACACAATCGGAAGTAGGATATCTGAATCCCTTCTTCACTATCTAGACAAAACCTTTGTATAAGTCAGTGCATGAATCAACATTATACTGAAATGAATTAGTTCAGTCTCCTTGATATATACACCGACTAGGCTACAGTTATAGCAAACTTTGTTGGGAAGTGACTGTGGTTAATATCAAGAGCCTGTTATACTGCAGTTATGCAGCTAAATGCTAGTTTACTTGAAAACTGACTAATCATTTAGAGTTGGATAAATTGACCATTCCAAATCCAGAGTACTGCATTCTACATGATCTGTTTTCTTTTGTAAAACTTATAAAAAGCTGGAATGTTAAAAAGAATTAAATATTGTTTTAACAATGAACTAGTGGTTATCAGAATCTCCTTCTGATATTTTCAAAGCAAAGTTTTGCAATGAATAGTTCTGGAAATTTATGTTTGCTTCAGATTTGCTATGGGTAAATTCAAATTTACTTGATTGGGGATTGGAATCACTATTTTCCAGCAATTTTGTGTTCTAAGGACCCCTCTACATAGACTCAAAACTTTTAATGGGTTTTCTCAATTTACTCTGGATTAAAAAGAACACCTGAAAAGATCTGGATTTCCCCAGGTGTTGGGCCTGTTGGGACCCTTGGGACCCCCTTCCACAATCTTGGGGATCTATCCCCATTGTCATCCCAATTCTTTGGAATCTAAGAGCCTGAAGGAACAAGATGACATCTTCACCCTTCCCTCCCAGCTCCCCATTTCTCCTGTAAACTTATTGGAGTGGCCTGGCTGGATCCTCAGGCCCCTCAGAGAAAGCTTCTGACACGTCAAAATGACATGTCAGGAGCTTTGGAGAGGGGGAAAATCAACCTCGGGTCAACTGGGAGGGCATGTAGCCATCTCCCCCTGCAAAATCCCATGGTTTGGGGTTTATGTGTGGTCTAAGTCCCAAGAACCAGGATTTAAAATCCCAGCTCCTCTAAGGATTTTGGCCTGTCTGGAAGGGCTCTAATTTGATGCCTTAGGTTGCAACTACACTGTAGAACTAATGCAGTTTGACACTACTTTGGAGTCATGGGTGTTGTAGTTTAATGAAGCACTAGCATTATTTGGCAAACAAAGCTTGTAACACTAAAGCTCCAATGATTTCATAGCACTGAACCATGACAACTAAAGGAGTGTCAAGCTGCATTAATTCTACCATAAAGACGTAAATTCAGCCTGATGGTATTTATATCAGTGAATACAGATATACTCTGTTCTAAAACTTACTGTTAATGCATTAGCTATCATTAAAAATAAAGAAACCCATTAAAGTTCATGTTTTAAATAAGAAATGTGAAAGCGCAAAGCACAGAAAAGTACTGAATTTGCTTATTATATCACCAAACACACTTCGAGGCATCCAGAAATTGGTCCTTCTAGCTTCCTCCTAGCTACTTGGAGACCTGCTATGAACCAATTTTGTGACAGCTGGAATCTCTCTTTTCAGATATCCTGAAAATTAGTACAGAAACATTCAGTGTAGAGTAGGAGGGAGTGGGCAACATTTTCTACCCATATGCTATTTGTTGAAATGTCAGGTTTTAGGGTGACAGCTCCAAAGCAGCCTCAAGCCACTATATCTCTTAAGGCTATACTCCCCAATTCATTTAATTGGAAGAAAAGCCCACTGATCTCAGTGGGACTTCTGAATAAAAATAATGTTGCAAGGCTACTACTTACTCATACCCTCCAACATTTCAGAGATGAAACTGGAAGATGCATGGCTGAGCAACCTCAGAGTGTGGCCAAAAGGAAGTGGCCAAGCAACAAGTGAGCACAAGTTCCTAATGAGGAAGAACACATCAAAATGATCACTTTAAACTGAAAAACTTTGGAATGTATGTAATGGGTGTCAGAAAGTCTTCCAAACAGATCAACAAATGCAATTGTAATTGTAAATTCAATGGTACCCCTGGCTTAAAAGTTAAACTATATGGCTTGGAAGAAGGCAGCTATAACCTTGCCAACTTTTCTCTCTCCTTCTCTGTGACTTGGGCTCCTTCCACACAACTGAATTAAATCCCATATTACATGCACTGAACCGAATTATATAGCAGTGTGGACTCAGATAACCCCAGTTCAAAGTAAATATTGTGGGATTTTCCACCTTGATATTCTGGGTTATATGTCTATGTGGAAGGCCCCTTGGACCTTCTCTCAGAATGGATTTTAAAGCAACTTATAAGGAAGATTCCAGAGGTGCTGGAGTGTGAATATCTTCACTTGCAGGACAGCAGTTCTGTGAGCACTGAATTTCCTCAAATAGAATCTAGGATATGATGGCCTGAACCCTATTGGTTAGTCCCAACTAGAGCAGAACCAGTGAATTTATTGTTGAATAGTGAGTTGGCAAATCTTGTTGATTCAAAGAGTCTGTTTCCACTTGAGTTTAACAATGGGATTCAGGGCACAGCCATTTACCCCTTGCTGGAGATCAATGATATTGGTCCTCATGGTAAGCAGCATCTCACTAGTGGCATATGTGCAAAGTAAGTATGGCATTTGTGTACATCTATCCTTTTGGAAATGGGATACACAAAGGGACTATTTTGTAACCCTGAACACACACACACACCTAGACAGTTGATATAAGCCTTGTGAAGAGATGCCAAAGGAAGATAAGGTGGACACAATTCAAACAGTGAAGATGCAGATGCTCTGAATTTTAAATGAAAGTGAAATAAGAGTGCCCCCAATCTGTGAGCACATTTTAAAAATTATTTTTAGCTGAAACTGGCAGCTTCTTCACCATCAGCCTGCTTCCTCTTCCTTCTGCTCCTCAGCAGTAAGCATCAACTGCTAGAGTGTAAGTGAGGGTCTCTCCTGGGTCTTCGCAGCTCCAAGTACAAGGGGAAGGCATGCAGCTGTGTGGAAAGAGTGTAAGGCTCCACCTGCTTGTTGTAGGATCCTACAACAAGCAGGTGGAGTGCTGCACTTTGCCCTTTCCAGATGAAGTGGGTGAGAAACAGAACCATCTCTCTTGACCTGTACTCCTTGGAACAGATTATGATTATTTGTGGACTATTTCTATCACAGAGTCACCAGCCAGCATGCCTGCAGGAGGCTCAGCAGCTGCCTATTTGCCATAGCCTTGGTACAAGATGCATTTTTCAGACATCAGCTTCATCTCTTGATTTGAATCTTAATCATCATGCAAATATAGCTGAGCTGTAATCTCTAACATTGTGCTTCACTTCCTTTTTAGATCTTAAATAACCTTGAAATATTTGCATATTAAACCTTGTAGGTACAGATGAATATTCAGGAGTGAAGTAGGGTGTTCTCGGGTGAGTCTTCACAGCTGGCATGCCACATTCCCATCTGGTTTATTTTTAAAAATCTACATTTGTTAGAGACCCCACATTTCTTCCAAGCATAGTCCCACTGCCTTCCTTCTCCCTACCCCTCTACCTAGCTCATTTCTTGCCTCCTCTGGGATGAAAAGTTAGTCCTTTTTGCTAAAGCCGAAGCAGGACAATCACCAAAGCGTCAAAGCTGCAGCACCTTCTTTTATTGGGTCTGAGAAGACTTGGAATTGTGTGGACCTCCAGATATTACTGAACTGGAGTTCCCAGCACTCTTCATTATTGACTATGCTAATGAGTGCTGATTGAGCTTGAAGTCCAACTACACTCCCTGTATTAAAGGAAATAATGTAATCTTTAAGAGCCCTATGAG